TAGCAACTAGAAGAACTGTGATTCAGGATATGAAGATTATATGTAGGTGCCCATGTGCTCAAGTGCCAAACCATATGTGTGTGTGGGTCTATATTTATCTTTTCTTGTTGTAGTTTTTATTTAATTTTTTATTTATATATATTAGATGTACATTTTGGAAGACTGAATGTGATAATTTGATATGTTCATAAAATCAAAATGGAATAGTTGGGATATCCAACACTTTAAACATTTATCTGTTCTTTACAGTAGAATTATTTCAATTATTCTCTACTAGCTATTTTGAAATGTATAGTTGATTAATGTTGACTATAGTTACCTTACTGTTCTGTTGACCATCAGGTCTTATTTGTCCTAGCTGTATATTTGTGCATATCACTTTTAATTTAAGCAATTAATAAAAGGAAAGTATTTACCTAGTAGAGATAATTATTTACCCATTTATAGAACAAATATTCTTTGAATTTTGAATAAATCAGTCAAATGTGATAAACCGCAAATTTATTTTAGCCTTGCAAAATCATTACATTATTGAGAGCTCCTTACTTAGTGTAAAATAGGGATGTTGGCAAGTGGGTCCCTTAGAAGACACAAAACATGTCATTAAACTAATAACACTGTTGAATATCTTTTTTAGCAGACATGCTGGCTCTCTATATATATTTATATGTATAAAGTATATAAATATATAGATGCATAAATATATATTTAATATGCATGTATTTGAATATATATGTAAGCATCTAATCCATTTTTTGTTGCCTGTTGTTTCCAAAGTAAAATACTAGATAGTTTAAGAGATTTTTTTTTAAGCTACTTATCCCCAAATAATTTATAATTTTTCCTAGGGATAAAAATTTCCAACACTAGTACAAAACATAATTGGTAGAAGCATTGTGCTAAACATGTGAACAGACTCTTATAAGGAAAATGAAGAAGACATTGCTTTTGAATCTAAATGCAGAGTAACCAATAAATTTGTGTTGAAGTAAATTGAAATAAAAATATTTTTACTATTAAGACATACTATATTATTATACCCTTAACTCTGTATTTTTCAGAAAAAATTTTTTAATATAAATGTCAGTACATCTTTTATTATAACCAGACAGAAAAAACTCTCTTACTGTATGCTGTTTTTTCATGTAACCTATTTTTACATGGCTCAATAGTGCAACTGAAATTTATAAAATGTGGTCAATCCTTAAACCCTAAAATAGGTGTTCTATATAATCAATCAGATTCTTCTAGGGCATAAGCATCACAAGAGGAAAAGCAATAAATAAATAAACAAATAAATAAACAAATAAATAAATAAATATATATATATATATATATATATTTTTTTTTTTTTTTTTT